TTAACGAAGTCGTGTTGGTTACTGTGCAACAACTCTCTCTATAAGAAAATCGCTAATTTTTTCACTTAGCATACGTTCCATGACCTTGCTGACAGAACTCGTCGAACAAATGGGCCTGTAATTCGCAAAATCACTTTTACAACATTTTTTGAAATCCGGTTTGACAAGTCCAATTTTCCATAACTTAGGAACATCACCGTGAAGCAAAATTCTGTTGAATAATATTGTTAGTGGGGCAGCGAGCCCGAGAGCAGCATGTTTTAGAAATATGTATGGATGGAATTTGATCAGGGGAAGTGGATACCCTGTTAGGTGGACGTCGAAGTACGTTGTAAACAGTATCACTGGACACGTCAACCCAATCCAGGGAATCCGAAGTTAAAGACGGTAGAGAGGCGCTCGATACGCGGGGCTCTTTATAAACTTAATGAAAATATTTGGCAAATACGTTGGCTTTGGATAAATCGTCTTCAATTGAAACTCCCTCTGAAGAGACTATATTCGGGGTATTATCAGCCAGATTCAGTTTTTTCCTACAGTAATCAAAGAAAATCTCAGTATTCTTGAGCCGTGCTAACTTCATTTCGGTCATCACCTGATGACGAAGAAGTGTGCGTTTGAGCTTACGGGCGATCGTAGTGGATGTGGCGTTTTGCACTGATAGAGCTGAATTGAGGTGCTTGGTTTTAGCCATCAGGTAAGGTATACCCGCCTAGGATACTTCACAGTCCTTCTCTTATGTATTTTGATGGGAACATGCTGAGTGATCAACCGATGACATACAGGGTGGGCCAAAATTATGATTACACAGAAATCGCATCGCAGAAAACGAATAGAAAGCCAATAGAGCAAACCAATTTCATTGAAGGGTTTAGCACAAATTTCTTATCAAAACTGTATATTGAGACTGGGGATCTGTTGCTTTCTGCTTTCACCCAACCCCAAAGACGAGGATGGACGGCGTTGACGGTGGCACGCAGCTAGGGTCATCGAAATGGTCCCGGCTTTTTGCTAAGCATTTTCGAGATTATTTCTTCTCTTGTTTGGGCTAAAGGATGCTTTCATCTCAGAGGCTGACCACATTGAGACATTCATGGGATTTAGGTCAGGGCTCCAGAGTGGTCACTGATCGAAGGTTATGAAGTCAAAGAACCCCTTTCACGAAATTTCTAGACAATTTCTGTTCAGCGGTCAAGAGCCTCATCTTGGCAATATGACCGGTTCGAATCATCAAGGTGTCCTATTGCGCATGAAGAGATCAAACAGGCCTTCAAACCAACTTTCACTCCATAATTCACAAGAATAATCGGTGCCTTTGCCTCGGCGGTGACGCTAGCACAGGCCATCACAGAAAGTTAGTGAGCCAGGCGCTGTATCACTTTCATTTATTTAAGCTTCATATAAATGTTATCGCTCTACTTATTGAGCACCTATTTCACTGTGAATCTTTTCTCGTCGGTGAACAGGAATTCCGTAGGACAATTTTTTCGGATGCGACAGGCAGCTTTTGTTAGCCACCCTTTCTCTTCTCTTTAACCTGCTCTCTGGGGATATCAGTTTCTGATCGTATAAGGGTCTCGTTGTGCAGGAGGTGCTTCACGATTTCACGCAGAAAATTTCGTGACATACCCATTCATTTAGCTTNCACTCCTATCTGCAATTGTTCCCAACTCTCGAGAGCGTCTTATGGTTGAATGCAATACCTGCCTTGTTTCGCTAGTTCGTCTGTAGATGCACCGTGCCAAAAGTGTTTGAAAATGCAAAGCTACGTTTAATTCACGGACTAGTTACGCTTATATTATGTTAAAAATCTACCAGAAGTTTAGTATCATTAGAAAGGTAATAACGTTAGCTACTTTGTGAAATGGAAGAAATTCAATGAATTGTTATGAACATAGTAAAACATTGCAATGAACGTCAGCGTGCGCTGTAATCATAATTTTGGCCCACCCTGTATATTTAAAAAATTGGTGTAAAACGAATCTGAATCAACGGAGGTATCATTCAACTCAATCCAGTCAATCTGGCTAAGGGCAGAAATTATAGCATGATAATTACCTTTTGAGAAGCATTTGTACAATATGGTCGGGCGGGCCAAAACGCCAAAACGGGTGGAATGCAAGAAATGTCGGAACGAACACATTTATGATCAGGGAGGAAGGACATTCAAGTTCTTAATGATTTCCGGCTCAGAGACTAGCAGGATATCCAGAGTGTTGAGACCATGGGTTGCAGTTTTTACAAGTTGCTCTAAGTTGAATAGTTGGGTAATTGGATGAAGGACTGCGAAGATGGCGACGATATATCACCTCTATGCGTCATATTTTCCCAATAAATTAGAGGGAAATTGAAGTCACCCATGAGAAGAATGTGACCATCCCAATCGGTGAAGAGATCATGTAGAAAAGAAACAAATTCGGCAAAGATGGCCGAAGTGCAGGATGAGCTACGGTATGCAAGGAGGGGTGCAATTCTGGAGCCACCACTTTTGAGCTCAAAAACTAACACTTGCATGAGTTCAGAAAAATCTTTCTTGATAAGGAAATTTAGCGGGAGATCTTTATGAATTATTGCCAGTACTACACCACCAGGCCTACAGCCCTCCCTGTCGCAACGGTAGACCACGTACATAGAATCGCCGCTAAGAGCGGCATCATGGATTGAGTTTGGTTCGCACCAACTTTTAGTTATGAAGACTGCACTTGGCTTTTCTTGAAGGTGAAAATTCAAATCAGCTATTTTCTTTACGATGGAACGAGCATTGAATAGGAAAAACCCACCGTGCTCGTTAAGGTTGGGACCGTAATTAGCACGAGGGGTTTTACCGATGGCAGAACTACTTATGCACCTATTGGATGACCCAATTTCCTAGCGGAGAGCCGCTGGGGAGATCGCAGCAAAATCAATAGGTGCAGGTCTGGTTTGTGGGTCATGCAAGGTCAGCGAGGGGCTGCTACCGCTATCCCTGCTAGGGAGGTCACGGGGATTTTTCAGTTTATGGATGCAGAGATAGCGCACAACATAGGCAAGCTTACCTTCTTCCTGATTCAACTTTCCGGACTTCCTGCGTAGAGATTGATCATATTCTAATTCTTCCCTAGTGTAATCCATTCTGGCAGAAGAATGGACGAAATCCCTGGTTAGGGATAGTCTGCCAGCTCGCATGTGCTCTAGTAGCTTGTCTCTTAGACATTGGTTCCCTAAAGTAATTTTTATAATGCGGGGCTTATGGCTACCTCCACTAGGTTTGTTCTTCGGATGTCTGCAAAGAGTAAACTTGCCGGAATTGAATTCGCGAATCAGTTCGTTGTCTCCTGAGGACACAATAACTTCTTTAATCGCCTCCTTGTCGAATGCGCGGGTGGCCGTTTCGGAGGCTTGCTCGCCTATGCCTATCCATGTGATCCTGCAGGCCTTTTCGTCGACAATTTTCGTATCTGACTTAAATTTTACAAGGATGCTTATCGAACAGCGGGTTGCAGATTTCAGGAGCTGAATGGCGAAAAGGTCACCAGTGATTGTGTGACCCCGCGTGAGCAGTTCGTAATACAGCACCCCATGCAAGTCGTAGAAGCAGCAGAGAAGACCTTTTCAGAACTGAGGTCGGATTTGAACTTGTGTCGATAGACTTCATCGGCCGAGCTACAAGGTACGACGCGTGTAAGAATAGTATAGTATATCCAACTCTCATCTTCGCTGATCAGGTCTCATAGAAACTCCTTCCTGGGCAGGCGGAGAGGAAGAGATTGACAAATGAATACAATGAACACAACAAGAGGATCCGTTGAATTAGCACCGTTGTAGGGTATTATTGATCTACGTCAATTAAACATGTTATCATAGACTACGCAAACTCGCGTATTGTATATATCTCTGTCAGCCCAGTGCTCAGAGGTTCTTATGTTGACAAGTTCAGTTCTGTTTTCCAATAAATGAGCACATCTACTGACGTTCTTCAACTGTCTACAAGAACATCTATTACACAACGACTGGTGAGCAGTGGACTTCAACGCAGACAACGAGAACGCGTTCAGGAACTTCAACGCGGACAACGGGAATGACCAGTGCAGCGGGCAGTCGAGCCGACGAGGAGGGATAGTCACATATAAAATGGACGCGAAAAGTCTACAAGCCATCCTAGATGCCCAGGCCAGGATGCGGCAGGAGATGCAGATGCAGATGTTCACCGAACAGCAGAGAATGTTCGCTGAACTCGTCAGTCGCATGGAAGGGATGTTGTCTGGCTCACGTTAGACCGCTCCAACGTCCCCAGCCAATGCAGCTGAGTTCGCGATGGATTCGCTGTCAGCGCGCTTACCTGAATTCGTAAACGATCCCGGAAATGGTTGTACCTTCGAGGTCTGGTACAATTACTGTAAAGACGTCATATCCAAGGACGGCGCTGCTTTGGATGAAGCTGCAAAATCCCAACTAATCGTCTCCAAGCTCTCCATCGCATACACTCGTTTCACAAGCCAAATTCTTCCTAGAAGAGCTTGTTAAACCGCTGTCAGCTACCGTAGCAACGCTGAAGGAACTTTTTGGACATAACATGTCGGTTTCTCGAGCCGCTACGTATACCTGAAGACCGAACGCAACGGTGAGAATCTTCCCGACTATACTGGGCTACTCAACCAGCGACACGCGATGGCCGAATTCAACGACGTTATCCAGAACAGATGAAATGCCTCGTATGGATATGCTGGCTCGCCTCTCCTAAAGATGCTGATATACCGGCCCGTGGCTCCTGCAAGATGGAAGACAATCCCCAAACACCCCTAAAGGAATTGGCCGCGGAGTTCTAGCAATTTCTCAATATTCGTCAGGATGCCACTCTTCTCGAGCGGTCTGCTTCATCGCACATTAACGCCGTTGACTTTCAGCCATGTTTTTGCTATGGAGTAAACCAATGGTCAAGGATTTGTTCTTTTCGTAACAAGTGCATGCGGCTTGACACTGGTGCCGATGTCACATTACTGAGCACTGCGGAATGGATCGTTATGGGTAGCCCGATGTCACGACCCCCTCTCAGCACTCTGAAGTCAGCCAATGACAAGCCGACCGATGTTCGAAGATGCTACAAGTGCAAGTTCGTCATTGATGGTCATCACGGACGAGGTAAGTGCTACGTCTCCGACACACCGTCATTACTAGGTCTCGACTGGATCATCCACCACGAGCCTGTGCTTGGTAGCCTAACCGAGGACTCTATCTGTAATGTACCCTCATCGACGCTCATCGCATTGAACTCTTCTCTCGCTTGAAAAGTTCTCTACCGTTTTCACGCATGGATTGAGACATTGCACCAAGTCGAAGGTCAAGCTCACTCTGAAGCCTAATACCAATTATGTTTTTTTTAGAAGGCTCGCCCTGTTCCATATGCCGCTGTTTAGAAGACTTCGATGGAAATCGATCGCCTTGTATCCACAGGTTCTGACGCTCATCGACCACTCAGAATGGGCCGCTCCTATCGTCGCCATTCAGAAGAAAAATGATACAATACAACTCTGCGCAGACTACTAGACAGGAGTGAACGACGCACTTGAACAGCACCAGCAGCCACTTCCAACCCCGGATGACATCTATCTTCACGAAGCTCAACTGAGGACGCTACTTTTCACAGCTCGACCTTATCGAAACGTATGTGCAACTGGAAGTGGACGACGAATCAAAACAGCTGCTGACGATCAATACCCACCGAGGACTCTTTCGTTTCCATCGCTTACGATTTGGAGTGGAGTCTGCTCCTGACATCTTTCATCAATGTATCAAAGCTCTTATTGTCGGATCAGATGGAACTGCCGCTCACCTCGACGACATGCTGGTCACTGGTAGAACCATCGACGAACACAACACTCGACTAGACACTGTGATCCAGCGAATCCACGACAACGGATTCCGTGTTCGTCTCGAGAAGTGCGAATTTCTGCAAACAGAGATCAATTACCTTGGCTTCGTCATCAACGCGCAAGGACGACGCCCTGACCCCGACAAGGTTGAAGCCATTCAAAAGTTGCCAGCTCCAAGAGACGTTAGACAGTAGCGCGCTCTCTTCGGGCTCGTCTATTTCTACGGAAACTTCGTGAAAGATCTGCCCAACCTACGCGTTCCGTTAGCCGCCCTTACGAAGGATGCTGTCTACACGTGAACACCGGAGTGCCAATCTTCCTTCGACAAGATAAAGGCAACACTCACCTCGGATCCGTTGCTGACTCACTTCGATTCGAATCTTCCAAACATTGTGGCCGCCAACGCTTCTACCCATTGAAGAGCAACACTATCACACCGATTCCCCACGGATCAGAGAAGGTCTTCTACAACGCCAACCGTTGCCTTACCCCAGCGCAGCCAGATGGAGAAGGAGGCTTTAGCTCTCACGTTCGCACTTCACACTGAAGACCGATCTTGAACCACTCGTTGCTCTTTTTGAAAGCAAGAAAGAAACACCTGTCTACAGTGCCAGCCGTCTTCAGCGATGGGCCACAATGCTACTCTACTACAAACTTCGCAATCGAGTATGTCAACACAAAGGATTTTGGACAAGTGGAGGCTCTCTCACGTCTCATAGCGTCGCACTAATCAACGCCGGAGGACTACGTCATCGCCAACGTAGATGTCGATGTAACCGCAGAACTTATCGAGAACTGTCGTCACCTTCCGGTCTTTGCCAAAACAATCCGGACTGCTACAAGAGCTGATCATGTCATAAAGAAAATCATCGACTACATCAGGGCTGGAAATGGGCCCACATTCAATCGCAACTCTCCTTTCTGGCACTACTACAAGCACTGAGATACTCTGACGACTGTCGACGGTTGCCTACTCACTGCATCTCGCATAGTGATACCAGGATCACTACAGCGCCGTGCACTTACGACACTACATAAGGCTCATCCCGGACAGACAAGGATGAAGATTTCAGCACGAGGCTACGTCAATTGGCCAACACTGCACACCGACATCGAAGAACTTGTCGGGAATTGTAAACAGTTCAGTGGCGAAGTATCCCGTCAAAGTCGAACCATATTCCTGGCCAAAATCAATTCTCCATGGAACTGCGTGCACGTTGACTTTGCAGGACCCGCGAATGGACGATTTTACCTGATACTCGTGGATGCATATTCCAAATGGCCTGAAATCGTCCAGATGTCATCGATATCTTCCACGTATACTATCCAAGTATTGAAGGACATTTTCTCGAGGTTTGGGAATCCTACAACTCTTGTCACAAGCAACGGGACACAGAAATCTTCATAGTTCGCCCTGTTCTGCCGTTCCCGAGGAATCACACACATTTCCACGCCGCCGTTCCATGCGCAGAGCGACGGGCAGGCTGAACGCTTTCTGGATACCTTCAAACGAGGACTCGCCAAATAGAAGGGGGAGGAACCGACCGTCGATGCTCTTCAGACGTTTCTGATGCCTTACCGCTCCACTCTATGCCCGTCTGCACCGGACCAACGCTCACCTGCCAAAGCCTTCCTGGGACACCGACTGCGAACCGATCATGATCTGATGCTACCTCAAGAAGACGTCGCTGGTGGACCGCGGGACGTCAAAATGAAAACGCAATTCATTCGAAGACATGGAGCACTACGTCGCAAGTTCGAACCTAACGACACTGTCTTCGCCAAGGACTCTAGAGGAACAAAGCAGTCTTGGACTCCGGGTGTCATCGTTCGACGTAATGGAAACACAGCTTACCTCGTTCCTTGTGGAAATCTGCTATGGACCCGACACGTGGACCAGCTGCGACCTAGAAGCGACACGACCACAACAACAACTACAAACACTCTTTCGGATGTATTCGATCTACCACTCTTCGATTGTCAGAGCGCGACGACTCCGACCGATCCATCATAACGATCGCAACGCAATCGACGACCGCAACGCCGACTCCTGCTAGACTTCAATAGGTCCCAATACGATACAGCTCAAGAGAGGAGGTGTTGTAGGGTATTACTGATCTATGGCAGTTAAACATGTTATCATAGACTTTGCAAAACCGCGCATTACATTACAAACCGCTCTGTCAGACGGTACTCAGAGGCTTTTATGTTGTCAAGTTCAGTTTCAGTTCTGTTTTCCAATAAATTTACACATCTACTGACGTTCCTCAACTATGTACAAATACTTCTACGACAAACACTCTCCTGTGGCCAAGAGCCTGGGTGTGACTAAGGACTGTATGGATGGGTACACCCGCGCCACGAGATCGCGAGAGTTAACCTCGAGGTCGTCTTTGATACTTTGAGAATAGAAATGTCGTCTACAGCGTGAGGGCGTCCTGGCCGAGGCTTCTCTTCGAAGCCCGTGTCGCATCATTCAATGCCAGCGAATCACTGCTTCACTTGCTGATGGAAATAGTGTTCTCCTCAATGCGCCTTCGATGTTACAAAGGAAGGCTATCGCTTTAATGCCGCACCGCTGTTCATAGTAGATATCGGCTGTTGGCCCAAGCGTGTTCGTGCAGATTTGGCGCGATGAATGAAGTTAGGGAAGGCAGTTCGGGTATATATACCTACTGTGAAGACGCTTCGAGACAAACCTGAAGCTACCCTGTGGAGGATGGATCGTGGGTATCGACCATGAATCGGTCAATCTGGAAATTTCAAAAAGTCCGTTCAAGTCTTCCTCAACCAACCTAGTACATTGGCTGCAGCAAGTGACTTCGATAGCTGAATACCCATTCAATAGCACTACTAGTCTGAGAAGTCGTTTAAGTGAATGCATAAGAAAGGGAGTTTCTCGGCGTAAATGGCTATATCATTCCTTTCTTTTGATTTATAGTTTGATTCCTAGCAAATTCCTGAACATTTTACTACTTCTACCCGAGTAGATAACAGTTCATCATCTGTCGGCGCGTTGCTGATCGAATTCCTCGAGCGGGCGCCAGTAACGTCTTCATTCGTCCTTGTCACGAACCAGAGTGATCCAGTGAATCGTCCTCGCATCAAGTTTGAGGTTCAACATCCCTTTCGTTCAGAGCTTTCCTGAAGAAGTCTGACCATCTCGTTGGCGGCCGTCCTGGTGTTCGTTTGACGTCCCGAGGGATCCAGTCAGTAACCGCCCTGGTCCAACTTTCATCACTATATCGCATGACGTGTCTGGCCCACCTGTTTTTCGGCTTCTTGGCGTAACCCACGGCATCTCTGATCTCCGTTCGATGACGGAGCTCGGATTTCTGATTCCCTTCTGCACTTGCGTGTATAAGGAAATTCCGAGCATCATCCTTTCCACAGCGTTAAGTGACACTGACCGCATGGTAATCCTGGCTTTATGGAGTCCAAGTCTCCGAGGCGTACGTCAAAGCAGGAAGGGCAGCAGTGCCGAAAATGTGAGCGTTAAGCCGGATGTTTTTTTGTCTTATTCACTACTCCCTCGACATTCTTGAATGCTTCCCACGCGGCGCGTTCGTTTCTGCACAGCTCGGGAGCTGGGTCGTTCATCATGTTGACTTCCCGACCTAAATTTACGTAGCTAGAGCATTCAGGGATATTCCTTCCGTTGAGCGTGAAAAGAGCATCAGGTTCCAAACCTCATGAAAATCGTTTTCGTTGAGTTCAGTCTCAAGCCGATCTTTCCACGAGCACTGCCAAAGACGGCCATCATTCGTTCCGCCTCTTGATGTTGTAAGCATCATGTCGTCTGCGGGGCGGAGGTGATTTAAATAGCTGATTCCCATTTCTAACCATTCTGGAAGACGCATGATGTTCTCGAGAGCGAACTGGAAAGTTTGGGCGACATTGTATTGCCCTGTCGAACCCCCCCCCCCTCTTCACGTCGATGATGACCTCTTTATAGAACGGCGAGATCCTGGTGGTGAAGTTGTAGTAGAACTCACGAAGCATCCTTACATATCGAGTAGGAACACTCTGGTTGCCCAGAGCTCTTCAATTACCGCTTCTGTCTCGACGGTATCAAAGGCTATCTTCAAATCGATGAACGTAAGACATAATGGCATTTTGTATTCTCGCAATACTTCAATGATTCTTGTGAAGGTGTGGATATGATCGATTGTGCTGAACCCTCTCCATAACCCTGCTTACTCGCATGGCTGTCCTTCATCTAATATTATACCAATCTTGTTTAGGACGACGCGAGTGAAAAGCTTGCAGATTACAGTCAGCAGGCAGATTGGGATAGTTGCTAATATCGTCGGGATCTCCCTTCTTGTACAGCAGCACAGTCTTGCTAGTTTTCCACGACGTAGGCCCTTTGCAGTTTGACAAGTACCGCGTGAACAGCCTAGCCAAAATGCTGACGATCAGTGGTGGAAGATTCTGCAGATATTCTGGTTTGATCTTATCAGGAGCGGGCGCCGTCCTATTCTTCATCGACGTGATGGCATATCGAATTTCGGTAAGGAAAAGCGAAGGAGCGATAGCCTCGCAAGTTCGTACGTTTGCTGACGACTGCCTGCAGCTCGCGCGATTCTACGCTGGCGTATAAGCTAGAAAGTCTTCGAAGAGAGTCGTCTCTTGGCGGCTACCTGTAGACTCTCTGCTTTCCTAGCACTATCGTGAAGGTGTTCGACTAGCGGGTTGTATTCTTCATCAACGTTGTCGGTAGCGGGGCCTTCCCATTCTCTCGCAAGGGAAGCGAAGTGGTTCTCGTTGATGGAGGTCTCGGGGCTTCGTTTCCTAAACTTTATAGCTCTCCCTCCACGGATTGAGAAGCAGAATCTAGCGCGGAGGCAATGGCTAAATACCGCGTGAATATTCGGAACAACAGCGACAACAGCGACATCAGCCAGGCAAAACCTCTGGTTGATGATGATGTGGTCTATTTCGTCATGCAGCTGCCCATCAGGTGACCCCAATGTCCATCGCAAATGGGAGGGCTTCTGGGACTGCAAATTTTTCTACGACCAATCTTGACGTTTAACTCATCGACCATGACCTTGAAGAAAGCATGGTCTTTTGTGCAAAGCCTCTCCAGATCCATCTAAAACGCTTCCAACTTCTCCTTTTCGTAGCTTGATATTGGTGCGTAGGCAGCGAAAATTGTCGGAGCTGGGGTTAAGCCACATCTTGATCGCAAACGTCCGACTTGGGTTGCCAAGCTTTCGTTCGAATCGATGCTCATGGCCAAGTGCGTGCTGACGAGCACACATACGCCGCCGACGCCTCTGCAGTCGCATGTTCCTAGGAACAGTTGTTCTCCGGTATCGAATACAGCGTGCCTCCTCGTCAGCCCGATGATGTCGTATTTGATCTTCCTCGCTTGCATCATCACGTCTTCAATACACGCTTCCGATGAAAGCGTCCTCGCGTAGAAAGTACAAATCGCCATCTTAGTACTTCTCCTTTTGGGCAACCTGTTTTGACCGTGTGATCTTAGTAGCCCTTTCCGAGCGGTCCTACCCAACACTGCCATATTGATTGCCCCCTCAGGTTCAGAGGAATGAGGCCCAGTCATATTACTGTTTTTGGCAAATGAGTGTTCAACGTGTAGCTTGCCAGGCTCTAGGGGACTGGATTGGCTCCGTGTGCTAGCCAGGTGGTCTTGAAGTGGACGAGGGCTTTGTTTTTGGAGGCGGCTCCAAATCACCTCCTAGATACTTGCCAGTCACTCGAATGCAGCTATTGGCTGAGTCGATGAGCGGGATGCCAAGTGCACCAGCAGACTTTCCACACACGTAAGCGTGGATACTTCTGCAAGAAACAGAGGGCATAAAGTCCAGCACAGCAGAATAAAGGAGCTCAGCCCTAAATCCACCCGCGTCTGTGGGAAAGTATGTTCTTGGCTACTTCTAGTCGACGATTTACTCCCTTGCCCGCCTCCTAGAGGCGCCCTACGTAGCCTCGTCGCTAACCGGCTGGGATCCTCTAGTGAGAGAGAGCCCCCAGTGAAGAAGACCCGTAGCAAACGCATCATAGTGAACAATTATTTGGCAAATTCACCAACTACTGTCAAGTCTTAAAAATTTAGGCTTCAAGTAGTCCCGTACGCATATGCGCCCGCGATTCGGCTTTCGTTCAAAATTGTAGGCGTACTGAATGCGTGTGTGGCCTATACAATGACTTGTGGTGGCCAGTCGATGAAGAAGTCAGTTCTATCGCCCTGCCAGACGTCTTTGATACAAACTAAAAGGCTCCGGAAGGATTAAAGGCTTGGGTGACCCAGGTGAATATCGATCCGACCCGTGACCCATGCGTATGTGAAGTGCGCTACCTGCCACTACACCAGCTCCGCCCATCATCTACCATACTTTCATAATAAGACGCCCTCGTGACCGAATATATTCGTAAATGCCTCACATGTACGCCATCAGAGGAAGTAATCGGGATTCCACAGAAGAACAACAAAGTACTGCCACGTGCTTCGCGACCTCAATGAGGAGAGAAAAGCTTCTGCAAAAAAGACTAGATTTTGGAGTGTTTTTCAGTGGTTGGTTTTTGGAAATTGAGCTATTTCATTGAGTTGAATGGTTTGAATGTACCTTTGAGAAGATTGTGTTACGCGTTCTACAATTCCAGAATTCGGTGTTCTTGTGCAGGACAACGTTTCTGTTTACAAGAGCGCTTATACACCTGCACGCCCAAATATGTCAAGCGCCAGGCTCCTCGAATGGCTCCCAGAAACTCCCGACTCTATCGGACATGTATGGTTTATATGAAAGCCTCAATCAGAAGTGTTCGAAGAAGGGAACAATCGCAGCCTTAGTACTTTGGGAAGCTCTCATACCTCCAGCGTGTGCTAGTCTTTTGGAAAACTCTCACACCTGCAGTGTGTGTGAGATATATACCAGGAATTAGGAAGAAGCTTTATCGAGTGGTCAAACAAAAAGGAAAGAAAAACTATGAAAGGTGATAGGAGCAATTACACTCTTTGCTTTATCACTATCAAAAGTGCATGTAATTTAATAACTGAGCATCTGCTGTATTATGATGAGTATCGACGTCATTTTTAGATTCATGTACAAACGGGGAGGTTGCATTCGAATGAGTAGATGATGTAAAATAGTTCAACGCTGAGCTGTAACCAACCTCTATGGTACAAGCGGCGATATTGTTTTTCAGAAATATATCGGTTAGAAACTACACAGACCATAATAACGTTGCAAACCTTCCACTTCAACATAAGGCTTTCATCATCGTTACGTTCAGCAGTTATAGAGAGATGGTACGCGGAGTGACAAATCAGAAATCAATAAGCTGCGGCCTTGTTTTGACGTTACAGGAGTCAGTACGAGCCACTACGACATAAATGGTCTATGGGCTCCTGCGTTCAACCGGGCAAGTGGCGTAGAAGGAGTGCTTTCGCTTTATATCAGCACTCGACTTAAAGGCACAGTTCACGATAGTTTTGGGGTATTCGGTTTTTCCGGATTATGATTGGTACGGCCTACAATAATCCAACTGTAAGGGAATAAACGCGAAAAAGACCTACAAAACGAAATAAAAGAGAGAAAAAACACAAAAAATAAGTGAAGGTTGAGTTTGAGGGGGAAAAAGAGGCGTGGATGAAGTGTTTGAGCGAGCTCCAGCAAGTCTGCAACTGCGTACAACACACCAAAATAGCTGATTTTGCCTTCTTTGTTGAAAATATTTGTTGACATTTTGTTGAAATATTCTGTACATTCAATTCGCCGGGGAACAAAGGTAAGTAAACTTGCTTATATTCACGATTTTATGATTAGATGTACTTACATTTGCTTATATTTCGTTGAGTTGCGTTGTTTTGTGAAATTCATGCTGGGATTTTCAATTGTCTTTTCATTTTCAATGCATGCTCTTCATTTTGGATCATTGATGCGTTCTTGTACAATATCAAGAACACTCTCTGAGTTCCTTTTGAAGAATTATTTGAGGAATTATGCTCAATGAGAACTTACTATTAGCATGTCAACCCCCCCCCCTCTCCCGCTACCCTCTGAAAATGTGTGATGAGCTTTATTTTAATAATTTCATGTGTTACTCTTTTTGTTTTAAACTTCTTCATCTATATATTCGTAGATTCGTTTGTGAACGTCGATTCGTTGGCCAAAAATATACGCTCCTTTGCGCTAAATTGGCCGATTCTTCGTCATGAACCCCAGTTCCTGAGATATGGATACCTGGGAGTCAAAGAATCGTCTGATTGTAATGGTATTTCGAATCGCTGGCGCCACCTTTCGGCACTATCGAACACTTCTTATGTAGTGTTATGTGTATTATTACAAGTAGTTATATGTATTAGCTATACAAATTCAATCGAAATGACAATTGTCCAATTGCCCAAGAATGTTGGATTGTTAGCGCTCATCAAGACAAGTCAATCAATGTGTGACTCTCTTGCTTGAGCCAGATTATTAAGTGGTTGGCCGAAGAATGAGTGGTATAAAAAATGGTACTGAGGGTATCGATTTAAAGTGAATTTTGGGAAATGGTTTTCGAAACACTGAGTAGCTTTGCAGAAACAAAACTTCATTGATGTTAGTTTTCAAAATTTTCTTTGAATTCGGAAAAATTACATTCATGTTCTAGCATAGGCCATCCCCGCTCCTTGGGGGCGGGGCTTAGTCAGTAGTTTTGGTTCTGCACTCCCCGCAGTCAGAATATTTCGCTGTTCGTTACAATAAATATTCCCACCGAACCATGTACCTCACATACACAATAGAGAGATCTACAATCTCTATTAATTGCAAAAACGCGCCACCCAACTGTTTACAAGTCACCACATCTTTTTAATGCATTGGCTAAAAGCGTAATAAGGTCAGCAAACCGTGGTACTCAGGACACGGTTAGATCCAAAATCGCAAATAACAGCTTTGCGAAGAACAGTGTTGTTGCGGTGTTGTTTGTTGGTTTCCTACTTGAATTTATTAGACATGACTCACTTGGTCGCTCAAAAGCAGCGTATTACTTTTTGATTCCATCCGACTTAGCTTATCTTTCCTTTGTTGGAAGAGAACCGCTTGGAGGCAGCGTAGGTTGACTTGCTAACTCACAGCTAATGAATCACTCTTGATAAACGACCCGCTCGATAACAACGAAGTAAATAAAAGAAAGAGGTAGAGATATCAGTACGGAACTCTATTTTCACAAAAAAAAAACAATTATCGCTGGTTCCACAGCCCCAGCTACTCTCCTGCAGGACTATAAATGCTATTGCAACACAAATTACAGGGTGGGCCAAAATTATGACTACACAGAACTCACATCGCAGAAAACGAATAGAAAGCCAATAGAGCAAACCAATTTTATTAAAGGGTTTAGCACAAATTTCTTATCAAAACTGTACATTGAGACTAGGATCTGTTGCTTTCTGTTTTCACCCAACCCCAAAGACGACGATGGACGGCATTGACGGTGGCACGCAGCTAAGGTCATCGAAATGGTCCCGGCTTTTTGCTAAGCATTTTCGAGATTATTTCTTCTCTTGTTTGGGCTAAAGGATGCTTTCATCTCAGAGGCTGACCACATTGAGACATTCATGGGATTTAGGTCAGGGCTCCAGAGTGGTCACTGATCGAAGGTTATGAAGTCAAAGAACCCTTTTCACGAAATTTCTAGACAATTTCTGTTCTGCGGTCAGGAGCTTCATCGTGTCAATATGACCAGTTCGAATCATCAAAGTGTCCTATTGCGCATGAAGAGATCAAACAGGCCTCCAAACCAACTTCCACTCCATAATTTACAAGAATAATCGGTGTCTTTGCCTCGGCGGTGATGCTGGTACAGGCCATCACAGAAAGTTAGTGAGCCAGGCGCTGTATCACTTTCATTTCTTTAAGCTTCATATAAATGTTATCGCTCTACTTATTGAGCACCTATTTCACTGTGAATCTTTTCTCGCCGGTGAACAGGAATTCCGTAGGACAATTTTTTCGGATGCGACAGGCAGCTTTTGTTAGCCAACCTTTCTCTTCTCTTCAACCTGCTCTCTGGGGAAATCACTTTCTGATCGTATAACGGTCTCGTTGTGCAGGGGATGTTTCACGATTTCACGCAGAAAATTTCGTGACGTATCCATTCATTTATCCTTTTTGGACTCAGAATGAATTTTGCTCCTACGTAGACCTTTGCCCTGCTTTCTTGAAACTTCCCCTAAATATAACCACAGCTTTCCTAGGTTCACCACTCCTATCTGCAATTGTTCCCAACTCTCGAGAGCGTCCTATGGTTGAATCCAATACCTGCCTTGTTTCGCTAATTCGTCTGTAGATGCACCGTGCCAAAAGTTTGTAAATGCAAAGCTACGTTTAATTCACGGACTAGTTACGCTTATATAATGCTAAAAATCTACCCAAGTTTAGTATCATTAGAAAGGTAATAACGTAAGCTACTTTGTGAAATGGAAGAAATTCA